GCAAACACGATTGTAACATGTTCAACTTTTCCCACTTTGGTCTCTTCTCTGCAATGGCAAAGCGTTTTTAGAAGTTCATTTTTCTTTTCTTTTATTTCTTTTTAAATATTTTAATCTCTCTGTTTAGATGTTATTTCGTTGATGAAATAGATACCCTATCTATCTATTCGTCTATTTCTCTTCTCTATCCAACCATCTATCTATCATCTATTATTCATCTATCTATCTGCATGTGCGTGAACAAAAAACAACAACAACATTATAACAAGAGAGAGAGAGAGAAGAGAGAGAGAAGAGAGAGAGAGAGAGAGAGAAGAGAAGAGAGAGAGAGAGAGAGAGAGAGAGACAGAGAGAGAGAGAGAGGAGAGAGAGAAGAGAACAGACAGACAGAGAGAGAGAGAGAGAGAGAGAGAGAGAGAGAGAGAGAGAGAGAGAGAGAGAGAGAGAGAGAGAGAGAGAGAGAGATAATTATCCACATGTGCACATACACAGATACAACAAGAGGCAAACTTTGTGGATACAGAAAGCAATCTGGCTTTGTAATGTATTCTGCATTGCAAAACTTTATTCATCTTGAGACCCACAATCTAGATTATTCCTTTTGCAGAAATATCTAGAATTTAGAAATGTAAGGAAATGATAAGAAAATCAAAAATACAAGTTCTTGCATATTCAGTCTGCTGCTGCTTTTTTCTTACTCTTTTCAGAAATGATAATATTCGATAGAGAAATTATTTTAATGGAAAATAGTTTATCGAAGACTTTATTTCTTTCCTTGTTCTTCTTGTAAAAATACGAAGAGGAAATAAATTCTCTTCTCTTTCCTCCTCTTCTTTTTATCCTTTTTCCCCCCGTCAAATAAAACTTATCTTATTTATTTATTCATTTATCTTTTGTTGATAGTTTGTCCTCCATTCCCAATGGTATTGTATAGGTTTATATCTTGTACTGAAGGCCAGAGTTTCTCTTATCTTATCTGAAATAGAGGCCAATGGTAGATTTATCTTGTACTGAAGGCCAGAGTTTCTCTTATCTTATCTGAAATAGAGGCCCTTTAATCCATACCATAAATCCTTGTAGATAAAAAAGAAGGAATTAGAGGAAGGTATAAGAGGGAGAGACAAATGGATACTGAGAGACAAATGGATAGATTGGTGGATAGATAGTTGTTTGACCGTGAACTGACAGACGGAAAAAGGTAAATAAGAGTGAAGGGGAAAAGAGAAGAAAAATAATGAGTAAAAGGTAATATAAGAAAAAATATAGATGGATAAAACATCGTTCAACTGGCTTTGAATGGCGGATGGATAGATAAGCAAATATAAAAAGAGAGAGGAAAAAGAGGCGGTAAGATTTTATCAGACGACAGAGAGAAAAAAAAAAAAAAAAAAAAAAAAAAAAAAAACATTGAGAGGGAAAGATTTACGATTTCCTTCCGTCCTCAAATTTCTCCTCCAGCCCCTCCTCTCCGCCCCCCCCCCCGCGTCCCCCTCTCACGTCCCCTACACACGTCCCTGCCCCTAACCCCCAACCCAATCACTCTCCCTCTCTATCCCTTGCCCTTTCCCCCTCCCCACTCTCTTCCACTTTCTTCCTTGCTCATGCCCCTGCTTTCCCACCCCCACCAAGCCCCTCCCCTTACCCTTAAGCCCTCCCCTACCCCCCTTCCCCTACCCTTAAGCCCTCCCCTTACCCCCAAACCCCTCCCTCTTACCCTAAGCCCCTCCCCCTACCCTTAAGCCCCTCCCATACCCATAAGCCCCTCCCCCTCCCATAAACCTCTCCCCCCCTTAAGCCCTCCCCTTACCTCTAAGCCCCTCCCCTACCCCTAAGCCCCTCCCCCTTACCCTAAGCCCCTCCCCCTTAGCCCTCCCCTACCCTAAGCCCCTTACCCTAAGCCCTCCCCTACCCCTAAGCCCTCCCCCTTACCTCTAACCCCTCCCCTTACCTAAGCCCCTCCCCCACCCTAAGTCCCTCCCCTTACCTCTAATCCCCTCCCCCTTACCCCTAACCCCTCCCCTTAACCTTAAGCCCCTCCCCCTACCTCTTAAGCCCCTCCCCCATACCCTAAGCCCTCCCCCTTACCTCTAAGCCCCTCCCCCCAATATATCCTTATGTAGGACTCCTTCCCAGAATGACAACGACCTGGAAATCTGAGCCCTTGAGGCGACCCGCGCGGATGTCGTATTCCTCTCGAGCTGTGTCTTCCCTTATCTTTCGGAGCTTTATGGAAATGAAGTGGCGGTGTGTTCGGAGGCTGTTCGCTGTCTGTCTGTCTGTCTGTCTCTTCCTCTCTCTCTTTTCTTTCTCTCTCTATCTCTCTTTCTTTCTTTCTCTCTCTTTTCACTCTCTCTCTCTCTTTTTTCGCTCTAATCTCTTATTTCGTGCGCCACTCTCTCTCTCTCTCTTTTATTTCTCTTTCATTCTCTTTCTATTTTCTTCCCTCCCTCTCTCTCTCTGTCTTCTCTGTCTGTCTGGTCTGTCTGTCTGTCTCTCTGCT